CGTTGCTCAAGTTGGTTTCGCCTTGTTTGGTCAAGTGGTTGCGATTTACCAAGCGTGGCACTAAGGCACCACGAGGGGATCCATCCGCCAGGGGCTACGGCCCTGCAAGGTTCGCGTCAAAATTGTGTGTGGGCGGTGTTTCAGGCGATTCCCTTTTTGCCCTTCCGCATTTTTCTTCGGCATCTCTCCAGGAGGACGACGACGACGAGCAGGAATGAGAAGGGAGGAGCAGGAGGACGAGGAGGAGGAGGAACGACCAGGGGAACAGGTGAGGCGACGATGACGACGACCGACGACGACGAAGATCGGCGAGGACGATCGAGGAGGAAAAAGTATCGCAGACCACTATCCCACACCTCTTTGCTTCGTTCTCTTTTTTGTGCCTCCTCCTCCTCCTGGGAGGGCCCTCGTCGCTCGCCACCGTTGGATTCTCGCTGAAATCCGGGCCAGAACGCATCCCGGGAGTGGTTCGGGGAAGGGGGAGTAGCGATATCGAAGGACGACAACGACGAGCAGGGAAGAGCAGGACAAGAGCAGGACAAGGACAAGACGCCCCACGAGACACCAAAGCTGACTACCTACCAGACCACCCCAACCCAACCCGAAGACCCGAATTTGACACGAATTTCGGGTTGGGGGGGGTACGGATACCATGTATTTTTTCAACGTTCCCCACGACCCCCCCCCACTGGAAATGGAAGGCAAATTGAGGGCTTCGGGTTGGGTTGGGGCCCCCCGCGACGTCCCAACGACCATCTTGGAGGCCTGTGACCCACAGCCCGTGCGCGGTGGCGGGATGTGCCGAGGGTCCTTCGATCCGCCGCCCCCTTGTGGTCTCGCCACGTGTTGCCTGGCATGCTGAACCCTACTAGGAAGGTTTTTTTTACACAAAAAAAGAACTCTCCCCTGACGCTCTGGCCCAGCGCGCCAGCCCTGCGGAAGACCCGGTTGCAAATGTTTCTCCGGTCCAGGTGGCTCCAAGATGGCCTAAATAGCTTCCAAGATGGCCAAGGTGGCATCCATGTTCGTTCAAGATGGGGCAAGAGAGCTTCCAAGACGGCCCCAGAGAGCCTGCAGAGCCTTCAAGACAGTCCCAGCGGGCCCACGAGGCGTCCAAGAGGCTGCCACGACGGCCCAAGAGGCCTCTAAGACGTCCTCGAGGAGGTGACGAAGAGGCCAAAATCATAAGCTGTCCTTACGGTTTGAAATGATTTGGGCTTGCGCTTCTTTTCGGCCCTCAGACAGCCCAAGACGGCCCAAGAGGCTTCGACGATCGCCCCATGATGGTCCCGAGGGCCTCCAAGATGACCTCACGACGGCCCAAGAAGCCTTCATAATGACTCCAAGTGGCCTCCTAGTTCGCCCAAGCTGGTCCAAGATGGCCTCCAAGACGGTCCAAGCGGGTCCAAGATGGTCTCCAAGACGGCCCGGGGCGGTGGGGACGTCGGCAGTCTGCGAGACTCTGCGCAAGCCCGCCGCAGGCGCCCAAGTTCTACAAATCATACAATAAGCCCGCCACAGTCGCGGACTCTTCGTTAAACCAATGTGGGTAGGTCACGGGTGGGTCGCAAATGGGTCGCGGGTGGGTCGCTGTTGTGTCGCGGCTGGGTCGCGGGTGGGTCGCGGGTTGGATCGTGGGGTGGGTTGCGGGTGGGTCGCGGATGGGTCGCGGATGGGTTGCGGGGTGGGTCGCGGGTGGGTCGCGGGTGGGTCGCGGGTGGGTCGCGGGGTGGGTCGCGGGTCGGGTCGCGGGGTGGGACGCCAGTGGGTCGCGGGTTGGGTCGCGAGGTGTGTCGCGGGGTGGGGTCGCTGGGTGGGTCGCGGGGTGGGTCGCGAGTGGAACGACGATACCAAACAGCATCAGCAACACCGCAACAAGCAGAATCCTCACCACGGATCCCCACTTCAGCCACGCACCCAAGGACAATGAATGACCGTTCGGCCCCCTCACTCCGATTTGAAGAGAAGTGAGTAGAACGATGCTGCAGAGAAAGAGGGGCTGTTCATGACCCGCTCCAGCTCAGACGAGGTGCTGACCTGGAATGGCATTTGCTCTCAGCCTGTTTCCTGCTGCGCTGACGTGATGGCGGGGGTTTGCCGCAGGCAGCTAGACATGTCAGCGCCAGGGCGACTCCACCGAATCATATGAACCACCGCCAAAAGTGTCAAGACCAGGGACCGTGCCCAAGGACACACGCAATATGTGATTCATGAGCGAGGAAGCCATCACTGAGCAAGGAGGGAGGAAGCAGAAGTAAACATAAGAAGAAGAGCGCCTGTATCCGCCACAGTGCCTCTGGGCACGGAGTGGGCGTGTCCTCAGGTCTTTTGCCCAATCCCTTAAGCCCCAGTCCTCCACCCTAAGGAATCTTTTAGGGCCCAGACCCCACACTGCCAAATCGCCCAGGGCTTGCGATAGCTTGTCGGGGGCTTCCCGCATCTCCCCGCGTGACAAGTTCGGGCCCAAGAGAGACCAAAAAGACTTCCAGATGGGGCCCTCAGACAGCCCTCAGACGGCCCAAGAGGCTCCGACGATCGCCCCACGATGGTCCCGAAGGCCTACCAGATGACCTCACGATGGCCCAAGAAGCCTTCATAATGACTCCAAGTGGCCTCCTAGTTCGCCCAAGCTGGTCCAAGATGGCCTCCAAGACGGTCCAAGCGGGTCCAAGATGGTCTCCAAGACGGCCCGGGAGCGTACAAGATGCCTCCAAGTGCGGCCAAAGAGCCTACAAGACGGCCCCAGAAGGACCACGAGAGCCGCCCAAGAGGCACCAAGCCTCCAACAAGCCTCCAAGAAGTTCCCAGGAGGGCCTGAATAGGCCAAAAACCGATTGTCTCTGTCCTGACGTGTTTAAAAGATTTTGGCTTGTGTTTTTTTCTCCGGCCTTCCGACAGGAAAAGACGGCCCACGGGGCCTCCACGGTCGCGCCTAGCTGGGCCCGAAGTCTTCCAAGATGACGTCACGACGGTCCAAGAAACCTCCAAGACTGCCGCAAGAGGCCTCCAACTTCGCTGAAGATGTGTTCCGGGATAGCTTCCCCACAGCTTTGGGTGTCGGCTCCTCCCCAACAAAAACGCAATATTGGGGATATTAGCCCAAGACGCCTTATGATAAGTATGAGCGTTTCGCACGAGACATCCTCGGAAATGGCGATGCTGGCCCAAGACGGCAAAAGACGCCCCCAGAAGGTGTCGAAAACGGCCCAGGAGACCTCCAAGAGGGCCTCCAAGAAGGCCCGAAGAGGCCAAACTCATTGATCTTCCTGAGATTGATGCAAGATTTTGGCATGTGCTTCTTTTTGGCCGTCCGACGGCCTGAGACTGCCCAAGAGCCCCCAAAGATCGCCCAAAGATCGCCCAAGACGCCTCCAAGATGGCCCCAGAACGGCCAACGGGGCCCCCAAGACGGCCCAAGATGCTTTCAAGACGCCGGAGATGGCCTCCGAGACGGCTCTGGAGCAGGGCCAGGAGGCCACCAAGACGGCCCAATATGCACCCAAAATGGCCCAAGAGGTACACAAGAGGTCCTCAAGACGGCCCAAGAGGCCTCCAAGAGGGCCTCCAGGAAGGCCCGAAGAGGCCAACAAAATCAGCGATTGTCCGTAGGTGTTTGAAGGATGTGGGCATGTGCGTCTGTTCGGCCTTCCGACGGTCCGAGGCGGCCCGAGAGCCCCCAAAGATCATCCCAAGATAGCCCAAGACGCCTCCAAGATGGTCCCAGAACGGCCCAAGAGGCCCCCAAGACGGCCCCAAGAGGGCCCCAAGACGGCCCAAGAGGCTTTCAAGGCGCCCAAGATGGCCTCCACGACGGCCCTGGAGCACCCCAAGGAAGCCCCAAACTCGGCACCGAAGAGGCCCCCAAGACGGCTTCTGACGGCGTCAGACGGGCCAGGAATACCATAAGACGGCCAGGGACGCCCCTGAGAAACCCCCAAGGGCCCTCAAGATGCCTCCAAGAGGCTCCCAGGAACCTCCCAGCTGAAGGCCCCAAGAGTGCCCCCAGAGGCTCCTAAGATGCCTCCTCCTCCTCCTCCTCCTCCGCCTCCGCCTCCTCCTCCTGATTTTTTCCGCCATCCTGCCCAAAGTTGTCCCCGAAAGCTTTCCACAACGGCTGGGGAAACACATGGTCCGATAGCTTGGCAGAGCTCTTGCCACAGCGCTCGGCCACACAGGCGATTCCAAAAGGCAGGGGGCGGCGTTGATTCGCCGTAGGCGTCTTCGATAGATAGGTGTGCCAAGTTCTCAAGTATGTAAAGCAGCATCGTGGCCGCACTCTGCTGGTTGGCGTAAGCGGACTCGCAGATTGAGCCTCTTCAATGGAATAACTATTTGAATCGGAAAAAAACAGGCTGGCCACAGCGCCCAATTAAATACATCAAAGGTCGCCTTGGCCAGCAAAGTGCAATTCCACAAACCCTGTGGGCTTAGATGGTCGAAAGAAATCTTCTTTCCTGTTCAAAAGCCCTCCTCGCTTCGGGGAGGGACACCCTCCCGAGATGGCCTCCGAGGCGACTCAAGACACTAGAAGATCATTCACGTCAGCTTCCATCATATCCAAGACGCCCAGCGAGGGTCAAAAGACAGTTCCAAGTACTCACGGAGCCCCTCAGGACCCCCCCAAGAGGCCCTCCGTCTAACACCTAAGGAACATCAATGAGTTGTGCCTTCTCGCTCTTGAGCTTCCGATGCGCACTTGAGGCCTCAAGATGGCATCAAGGAGCTCAAAGAGGGGCCCAGGAGGCCCCTGAAACGGCACCAACAACGCCCAAGATCGGCCAAAGATCGTCCCGAGAGGCGATTTCGATGGCCCCAGGGGGGAAGGAAATTTAGGACCCCCATTCCTTTGATCGATAGCTTCCGAGATGGGCTCAAGAGGCCATCAAGGGCTCACAAGAGCGCCCAAGAGAGCCCCGATAGGACACGTGAAGCGTGAAGAATTCGACCCAGAATCTGGGCTTCCCACCTTGAGGAAGGGGTCAGAGCGCGAAGCGCCACGCTGAACGGTCCCACAAACTCTGGGAGAAATTGGGAGAAATCCGACCGGGATCATGCCGTGCGACCCCACCAGTCTTGGCCTTCAGTTTGGCCTTCAAAAAGATAGCCGAACAAACACAGGAACGTCGCTCGAAGAGCTGCTTGATCCGGCGCTGTGACCAATGACGGCGGGCACGGCCGCATGGCGGCCTCGACTGCTGCCGCTTACGCTGGCAATGGTCTGCTGCTGTTGCTGCTGAAGCTGCTGATGGTGCCGCTGATGGTGCCTCTGAAGCTGCAGCTGCGGATTCTGAACCACGCCCTCTGGATGGATGCTCGCGTTAGCTTCGAATCCCTGCAGCCTGGAGGGCAAGACTGTGACCACCTTGCTCTCGGATGCTGGGGAGGAGAGTTCGCGGTCGTTGAAGGACCGCATAAAAGTGGCCGCAGCTTCTGGCGTTAGGAAGTTTATGAACGCAAAGCCACGGTTCCTCGTCAGGCGATTGTCGTGGGGGACATGGAAGTAGTCGTACGCGAGACCCTCCTCGTTGATGTCCCTCTGCAACATAGACTGTGGGTATGTATATGGTATGTTCACGATGGCCAATGTCGTGACATCTTGGTCGGCGCGGTGATCGTGTTCAAGGTCTACCTCAGGGAGGCTGTGGTGGCGCACCAGCTCAGCCAGTGGCGTCTGCGCGCCGCTGGAGGCTGTCGGAGGGGGGCCACTTAAGACAAATGGTGGCTCTCCCGCGTCCAACATTCATCCCCAGACCCCTCCCATGTTACATCCTGACTCGTTTGTCGAAGCAGATTCAGTCGTGGCGAGGAGAAGCCTCCCAAAGGCCCCTAACTAACCAGCCTCGCACTTATCCCTCCCCCTCAGATTGTGAAGCCAAAAGGCGATGACAATCTGAGGGATGTGCCTCGAAAGCTGACAGAATCCTTGCGATCCGCATCGAGATGAGGCGACGCAAATCAGATTTGGACGCCCGAAATGGGTACATAAGGAAAGAATGGGTACAATGCCCAACAACAATTGTTGCCCAACATCGACAGCGGCCGCTGTTGGGCGGGCGGCTTGTTGTCTTCAGTGCACGACGTCCGCGGCGGCGCGGACAGCGAGTCCTGCTCAGAATGAACAGGAACTGTTGTTGGGCATCGATCCATTCTTTTCGTACCCATTTCGCTAATCCCGATCATAGGGATAGTTGGTTCTGGGCAAAGGGGGTCTTTCGCAATGGGGTCGCCAAACAAAAATGCAATGGTTGATCCTGTGGCTCATGGCTCGTGTCCTCTCTCACGCACCATCGATGCCAAATGCAACACGTTCTGCCCGCACCAAGCACGATCCATCACGAATGAGTGCACGAACTGCTGCGTATGCTTTTGAAACCGCTTTTGCAAAGGACCCATTTGCCCGAATCTGAGATAGGGTAACGAACAACGACGTAAACATAAAAACTCGGAGGTGCGCGCGGACTTCTCGGCTCGGCGCTGGACCCCCCCCCTCCCCGGCGCGCGGAGCGCGCCATGGGCGGCGCCGGAGGCGCCGCCAGGGGGTCCCAGCGCCGCTCCGAGAAATCCGCGCGTACCTGAGAGTTTTAATGTCTACGTCATTGTTCGTGCCCCTACATTCTCGGGGATGGACAGACCCCCCTTTAGTAAAACGTGGTTTAGTGAAAACGACCTGAGGTCTAAACCTGGCGGGCGAAAGCCTGGAAAATAACGGCCGCGGCGCCCTCTCGAGAACCGAAAACGGACAATTCACTAATCGACGTGTCACTGTTGGGGGTTCTGTCCGCCCCCGACTATACATTCGCCCGCTGGTAGCAGGCAAATGCAAACGCCAGGGAGCACCGCCGGTGTCCCGACCGGCCCTCCTCCGAGTCTGTTCCTGGCCGCCCCTGCGCTCGGCGTGGGGCTGGCGCAGCGGCGTGGTCTGGCGAGAGGCCCGGCCTGGCGGCCAAGGCCGAGGCCGCCGACGCCGGCACGGCGAGCCGCGAGCGCAGGCCCTCGCCTGACGTTGCCCCCATCGTACTTACGGACCAAATCCCAGAAATCATTCCGAGCACCCCAAAAAGTACCGGACCGGTGTCGACCGAGTATCGCCTCCCAGGGCCCGACGCGTGAAAACCCACCAGTTTCGGTGCTTTCTTGGTGCTCGAAATTCTTTCTGGTGATTCAGGCTCAAGTAGGTTGGAGCATCGTAGCCCTCGCCGCCTGAAGGGTGTACGCCGTGGGGTTGGTTGTCCCGCGCTGACGCCGAGAGGTACAGGTGGTTGTCCTGCGTTCAGTTGGTATTGGAAGCTAGTGTTTTGTCGTGAAGAAGCTTTTCGGTGTCCAGGCAACTCAAACGAAAAAACAAACGGCATCCCAACACATGAAACAACAGAAAACGACAATACACACCTGAACCGAACCGAAAAAGGCGCGAACGAGAATTCCACAACGAGCAAAAAACAGAGTCCCAGAAAGGAACGAACAAACGTCAATCCTGAAAGCGGGAAACACGCCCCCCCCACGTTCGGTGGCAACTCCTGGGAGCCTCCGAAGCCATCTTGCTGACTCTTGCGAATCGAGGCTAATTGACGGTGAATCATCGCTAATCGACGCTAAATCGAAATTGATCGACGATAAATCGTCGCTTCCTCATCGGCTACCAGACGCTCATCGACGCTAACGCACTCTGAAAAGGGAACTGCGAGGGCACACATGGCTAACGAACAACGCACGACCATACCCATAGGGGGGAACAAAAGGGAGCTATGAGTGCGTGCTGTCGGATGGAGGTCCCCGCTCGAATGGGAGCCTCCCCCAAGGGGTCCGACAACGCGAATCCATGCCTACAGCCAGGCTTCCTCCTTCCGACCCCCATGTCGAAGAACAAAACGACGGCATACACAGAAATGTTTGGCGCTCCGCGCGAAGTTAATGGATCTACGCTGCACCTCCCTGGCGAGCGGAGCGCGCTCCAGGGGGGGGGGGCGGCGAGGATCCAAGAAATCCGCGCGGAGCGCCAATAGTCTATGTGTATGCCGATCTTTGCTTGCTCCGAGTCTAGGTATGTGTGTGTGTTGCTCGATCGTCAGTAGAAGGTTCCCACGACTTGCTGCCGAACCCAACGCCTTTCACATCTCCTTCTCCTCCTCCTCCTCCTCCTTCTCCCTCCTCCTCCTCCTCCTCCTCCTTCTCCCTCCTCCTCCTCCTCCTCCGCCTCCTCCTCCTAGCCCTCCTCCTCCTCCTCCTCCTCCTCCTCCTCCTCCTCCTCCTCCTCCTCCTCCATTCCTTCTCCTTATCGACCTGTCGCACCCCGAGGCCAGCTTTTGGGGCGGGCTGGGCGTTTCGATTGAGACTTCCTGACCACTTATGATTCTGAAGTTTGGAAAGTGACGACGGTTTCGCGGATTGAGGGCGGGTGGTCTTCAAAATGTGGCTCTCGCCTTAGCGCCACGCACATTCGTGTTTTTTTTTTTTTTTTTTTGTAAAAAATTGGAAGAGCTTCACGGATTGAGGGCGGGTGGCTTTCAAAATGCGGCCCTCGCCTTTGCGCCGCGCACATTCGTTGTACAAACATTGCAAGGGTTTCACGGATTGAGGGCGGGTGATTTTCAAAATGTGGCTCTCGCCTTAGCGCCGTGCATATTCGCTGTTTTAAACAATTTTGGAAAGAATTTCACTGATTGAGTGCGGGTGGTCTTCAAAATGTGGCTCTCGCCTTAGCGCCGCGCACATTCGTTTAACAAATGCAAGGGGTTTCACGGATTGAGGGCAATTCCTTTTCAAAATGTGGTTCTCGCCTTAGCGCCGCGCACATTGTTTTTAAACATGTGCAAGAGTGTCACGGATTCCCATGATCAACGTACCAGAAGGGGTGTGTGGAAGGATTCTTGATTATGCGGGCGCAACAGTTATGTTGATTCGCTGCGAAGTCCCAAACATGGCGTTCTGGTACGATTCTGGATCGTCGCGACGCAGCAGTCAGGTTGATACGTGGCGTTGAAATCCCGAGAACAATGTTTTGGAACGCTTCAGGATCTTCAAACTGCTGTCTTCCAACGAGGCAGCCTCCTCAATGGAAATGAACCGTTGCAGTTGCCTGCGACGAGGGAGCTGGGAGGGAGGACTAACTCCAACATTGCTGATGACTCTTGGGTTTTCACCGGCCGTCCTCCTCCTCGGGAGCGGCCAAGGGGGGGGGTGTCCATGAGAGAGGAGGGGGTGCAAATCATGACCGGCGGCCTGTGCGCGGCCCAGCGGGGGGGCCAGGGACGCAATGAAATGAGAAGAGGCGCCATGAGATCTGGGGGCATATCATGGCCCCGCCATGATATCCACCCCCCCTAGTCATCACCCTCCTCTTTGCCGCCCCCGACCTCCTCCTCCTCCTCCTCCTCCTCCATCACCCTTCACATCGCCTGAGGTCCTCCTCCTCCTCCTCCTCCTCCTCCTCCTCCTCCTCCTCCTCCTCCTCCCATCTCCTCCTCCCCCCTCCCCCTCCTGCCCTCCTCCTCCCCTCCTCCCTCCTCCTCCCCTCCTCCTCCTCCTCCTCCTCCTCCTCCTCCTCCTGCTCCCTCCTCCTCCTCCTCCTCCTCCGCGCTCCTCCTCCTCCTCCTTCTTCTTCTTCCTGCACCGATGGAGGCCGAAGACCGCACTGAAGAATCATGCAAAGGAGACGCAGCAGCGGCGGCGGCAAGACAATTAGCGGCGCCTGTCCGACGCAAACTGCCCCCGCCCGTGTCCTTCGTAGAACGGGTCGAAGGGCGCGAAAAACTCCTCGACCTCCGCTGGAACCTCGGGCAACGTTCCTGCCTGTAATAAGGTCAAGTCTGAAGGAGCCGCCAAGAGCAGAGACTGTGCAATGACTTTGGAGAGCAGAGACGGGTACTGTTTGGCAGCGGCGGTAGAAAACTGCCCATTCGCACGGGTGCCCACCAACTCCTCAGGGTGCGACTCATGATTACATATACCGCTGCCTGGGAGCTGGCGGATCAAATCTTTCAAACCAGGAGAGTTGACAGCAAGTAGGGTCGTCGGTTTCCGAGAGCGGGCCCCGCACTGACACTGATCAACATTCAAAAACTCCACACGTGCACGTCGGGACATGCCTCTCATCGCACGAACTTCTGGCAGCCGCCATATTGAGGGGAGGTGAGGAGGAGGAGGCGCGAGGGGGTGTTCGACGATGCAAGCAATACCCTTCGCCATGCACACATATGCTACCTGCAACATGGTCTGGAGCAAACGATTACCAAGCATTATTTGTTCCCGTTCGGACCTCGAGCGAGCAGGCAAGCCCCAGAGCCACTTGTCGGATCTCAACACCCGTGGCCTGTCGCCTCCGCACGGAGGTGGGTTAGCTCTGCCTTTAGACCAGGTCTCGCACGGGGGTCCTCCAAACGCGCCCAGGACGGCACCGTCCCATATTAGCGACAGGAGCTGCTGCACAGACTTTTTCTGAGTGAGATAGATCACCACGAACAACGCTGTTAGCTACATCCACAGATAGCATGATGACTGGCAACAACGATCGCGCCTGAAAGACTTCAAAATGGGCCTGGACGTCATCCGGACGCCTCTGGCAGCTAAAAAGATTGAGATAATACCTCGTGAACGTCGGTTGTCGAGGGAGCCCAGACGATTGCACATCACACTCAGCCTGGTGCTGGGCTCGCTCCACACCCTCCGTAGTCGCCCTGATGACGACTGGATCCACCTCGCCTCCCAGGGCAGGGCCAATGATCCTCACGGGCGGTCCTGCAGCATAGTTCTGACACTCCCCGCGCATGCGGGCAGCGCGCGCCTCACGGGCGTCTTCAGCACGGAGCTCACACACCTGCTCAACTGATAGCGGTTCCATATGATGCACCAGCTGAGCTAAGCAGTGCCGCGATCCGAAGCGGAGATGTCGAAGCAGGCGGCTGCGCCTGCTCCAATCCAGACAGCATGCTTGGCAGACCGTGCCCACTGCGACGCGTCCCGCCAGGTCGAACACTGGATGAGCCAGTGTCCGATGCCGCGACCATGCCACTTTAGAATTGAAGACTAGGTCACAGTCCCGACAGGGATAAACGAGCTCGCTCGCAGCAGGCTTGAGAATATGGGGTACGGGAAGGTTACCGCGCAAACATATATCGTGCAAATCGCTTCTCCATGCAGCTACTTCGGCCAACGCTAAGTGTTCCGCTAGGGCACTGCGCTCGGCCTCCCGACACCAAGAGGTCCACATCACTCTGTCCGTGCGGGCCATGTAAATCCACCAAGACGTGTCGCCAACGGGACGGTGTATCGCAGGCACGCTGATTCGATCGGCCATCCATACAAGATCCGCGCCGAGCATCTGAGCCCAGCTGCCCTTCGCCTCGATCAAGGCGTCCAACATGTGCAAAAGGCCCTGGGAAGCGGAGTCCAGGAGTTTGGGCAAAAACCGAAGCCTCCTCAGCTGGAGCACGACGAGAGGCGGCAATCGGCGGCAGGCAACGTACAACTCATGGGTGGACCAGGCTCGCAAGTCATCCTCCTCCTGACGCCTATACCCCATCGCGGCCCGCATTGAGGCCAAGTAAGCAGTTTCAAGGAACCGCTGGTTACCACGCGAAAGCCCTGACCACACGGCACAATGGAACAGGGCCCGACTGTGGCAGTAGGCAGCCCCAAACTTGTACTTATGAGCCACTCCCAAGTCGTTATTGTTTTTAAACACAGCACGCTTAAGAGCACCCAAAACGCCTAGCTGTGAGCGGTGGCGGTGCATGGGCTCCGCCGTCATAGTACGCGACGCGTGGATCATGGATCCAAGATGCTTGCAAACGTTGGCCATATAAACGCATTTGCCTATACTCGTTACCTGAAACTGACCCTTCATATCTGCAAGCTCAGCCTGCACTGAACCTTTCCCCGCTCCTTCAAGCCCAAAAAGCAAGGTAGACTTACCCTCCCCATAGTTAACGACGAAACCAGACGACGACATGACCTCATGCACAATACGAACAACGACGGAGGCGAGGCGAGGACAGTCACGTGCGCTCGTGCTCATCTGCAATACCGCCAAGTCGTCTACATAGGACGGTGATCCGACGACGGAATCAGTGTCACGCTCCCTGTCACGAAAGCATTTGGGCAATTCTGGCAGCAACTCCTGAATATAAATCGTGATACCTTCTGCAAAGAATCTACCTCTCAGCTTCTCATGGACAGGGGCAAACGCAAGAGTGAAGAAGACGTCGGCTGGCGGCATGCCCGGTCGTGCACCTATGACAGCACGCGCCGCCGACTTTGCTCCCTTCA